GCCCAGAATTTCTGTGCGAATCCAGCCGTGGCGGCGAGGGCCTCCCATGAGGCCCACAAAGGAGGCGAACACGAGGGCGAAGGGCAGCAGTATATGGCACCCTCTCCTCCTCCGAGGATATGGAAGAGCGGGGACAAAGACGACGGTGGAGGGACGCGCCCGCGTCCGGAAGGCCGCGGCCCAAAGAGGGAAGATGGAGAGAGAGAAGGCCCCGACCGGACGAGGGGCCGAACGAGGGGGCAGGGCGACTCGGGAAGGGCTGAACGTAGCCCCAGGACGACGTGCCCCCAGTGAGGTGTCGCAGCGGCCACGGTTCCCGCTGGGCGCCTCGAGGTGGGCCCTGAGGCCCCCTGTCACTGCACCGACCTTGCAGACGTGCTGCAGCGGATTTGGGGCGCGGATTTCTGTCAACGCAAAACCCTGAAACAGCGAGCGAAAAACGAAATGCATTTCGCGTGGATCTCTGTTGGTCTTCATTCCTGCCCCCCCCCCCAAAAAAAAAGAACAACGCCCGAAATTAACCTCGAAATCCGGAACGAAATTCTCCAGGACACCCCGGGCCCATCTTCTATTGTTCTCCGAACGAAATCCGCTCTGCGGTGTTGGCGCCATGACCTCTCCAGGGCACGTCTGCTCCGGGGCACGCCTCTGGACTCCCCCGAGGCACGGCGGCCACATCGCGAGGGCCCCGAAGGACCGAGAGAGCGCGGCGGACGCGCCCCACCACCGAGCACAGCGGAGGATCGGGTGCTGCCAGAAGTAGCCCTGGCCCAAGGTGCCCCCAGCTTGTCGCTCCATTTGGGAGCCCCTGGGGACCTCTGGGCCTCGTGAGTCTCTGGACCTCTGGACCGTCTGGGCTGCCCCGAGAATCCTGGGGGCACCTCGACCCTGGGGCCCTTGTAGCAACACCCGAGAGGAGGACCGCGCTGGCGCACGGCGCCGGGCCGAGGGAGGGGCGGGAAGTGGGGGGACAGTCCAACTTTCGGTCGGGCGTGTCCTCCTACAGGCGGATTTGCGAGACGAAGATCAAAGCGAATTCAGCCACAGTCCAAAAATGGTCGAAAAAGTCGTCCCCCGACTATTCTCTACTATTCCTGGATATTCTCCTCCTGTAGAGAGAGGCGTGCCCGGCGTAAGTCCAGCTGCTGATCACCTCACCGATCCTGGCTGGGGGCCGACCCCGGCCCAGACTTCGGCGCTGGGCCGAGGGAGAGGTGGGAAGAGAACGGGGGACGTCAACCGTCAGGTCGGGCGTGTCCCCTTACAGCCAGATTTTGCATGAAAAAACATGAAATAAACAAATAAGCAAACAAGTAGTTCTTCAACACAAGAAATCCAGAATGGTCCAAAAGAAATTGCCCCCAGGCTGTGCTTACTATTTTTGAATGCTCCTCCGTATAGCAAGGACGCGCGGTAAGGATGCAAGTCGGGGGAGAACGAAAGGGGGGGATAGCATAGGGAAGGGCAGAGAATCAGCTCGCATAGCTAATTTTCCCAGCACCTCCTGGCGCCGGGAGGCGCCCATATATCGAGCATTTAGGGCCGGCGGCGGGGCCGAAACCAGCTGCACGCAGCAGACTTCGTACCCCCCCCTTTCCTTATCTCCCCCTTTCGTTCGGCCCGACCGTATAACAAGGATGCGCGGTAAGGATGCAATGGCCTCGGAGGGCCAAGTTGACGTGTTTCGAGGTAGGGCTGGCCAGCGGAAATTGCCAGGGATGGGCCCAAGGGGCACGGGTGCAAGGGCAACCCTGGAAAACGCCCTCATCCTTAGTATGCTTAGGTCGGGCATGTCCTCCTACAGGCGGATTCTGGACGAAAAAATGAAAAACGGTCCAAAAAATCTACTATACTAAAAATAATTGATTTATCTTCTTCTTCTTCTTTACACAAAAGAAAAAACTTGACTGTTTTTTTTACCATTTCTGAATTTTCCTCCTGCAGAGGGACGTGCCCGACGCAATGATGCGCGGGTGCACTGCACCTGCTCACCTCACCGCTCCGGCCTGGGCCGATGCCAGGCCCAGGATCGGCGCCTGCGCCCCCGTGGCGCCAGGCCGGGAGGGCCTCTTGCTCCGATCTCCGGGCGCGGGCCCGGCCAGGATCGGCGAGGTGGCCGCCAGCCGACGTCCCTGCAGGGGGCCCAGGGACGCGCAAGTGAATACACACGAGTCCCAGGATGCCCCCTACTTTTCTATATTTTCTGGGCTTTCGTCTTCCCCCCCCCACTTCCCCTATCTTCCCATCTTTCCCTGGGAGTCGACGATGAATTGTGTCTGTGCGTTTCTTTCCCTCCTGAGTCCCCACCCCGAGAGAAGGGGGAGAACGACCCCAAGGCTTAGGTCGGGCATGTCCCCTACAGGGGGATTTTGGGCGAAAAACCAAAAGTAGCCAGCAAACACCTACAAAAATAATCAAAGCGTTTATATATATATATATATGTGTGTGTGTGTCCACCAAAAAAATCAACAACAAAAAACGTCCCCATACTATTTGTTGACTATTCTTGAATACTCCTCCTGTAGAGGGGCACGCCCGACTTAAGCCCGACTTTAGCCTTGATCACCAGAAAGAATTTCGAGCACCAAAAAAGTACCGAAACTCTATGGTTTTCACGTGCCGGGCCCTGGGAGACACTCGTCCGACACCGTTTCGACACTCTTTCGACACTCTTTCGATACTGTTCTGGGTGCTCGAAATCATTTCTGGGATGTGGTCCGTAAGTACCTCCTGAGTCCGCCCCGAAAGAAGAGATCGGTGAGGTGGCCAGCCGACGCCCCCCCCGAGAGAGGGGGGAGAACGACCCCGAGTCTTAGGTCGGGCATGTCCCCCTACAAGGGGATTTTGGGCGATAAACAAAAAAACGTTTAAACAAATAACCAAAACAAAAAAACAAAAATGGCAGAATATTGGCTATTTTGATAGTTTTGAATGTTCCTCCTGTAGAGGGACACGCCCGACTCAACCCGAAGCCCACCGCCTCGCCACGCTGGCCCCCCTCCGAGAGAGGTCCGGCTTCCCCGGCCGCCGCTCGGCGCGCTCAGGCGGCGGCTCTCGGGACGCCCCGGCAGCCCCAGGGCGCTCTCGGCGAGGCGCAGCTTCCGGAAGGCATCCCAAGGAGCAACCGACGAAGACGTCTGAAAACCCAGACACGATGGCGTCGTTAAAAAAAATCCGGACGGGAGGTTGTTCGCTATTCTCGACCTCCGGAGGCCCTCGCCGGGCCCCAGGACCGTCAAAAAACGACTCGGGATGAGAAACCGGCCCGGGAGAAAGGGTCTGAACTGGGACGCCGTCCTGCAAAAAATCTGGACGTCGCATGTCTGGGAAGGCATCCCAAGGAGCAGCCGACGAAGACGTCTGAAAGCCTCGAGTCCCCACCGACTCGCCACCACGGAGGGGGGAGAGAGGCTCTCGTCCTCCGCCCCGCCGCCTAACTCTCTCTCTCCCTCTGTCTCTCTCTCTCTCTCTCTCTCCTTGACCCCTCCTTCCTCTGCGCGCCGTCGGGGAGGGAGGGGGGGCGAGTCTCGTCGCCGCAGCCCGGCGCGACATCGGGAGACTGTCCCGCATGGACCCCAGGCAGGCCTCGAGGCCCAGCTTCGAGAGTCGAGGATGAGACGACGGCGACGGCGGCGACGTCAGCGGCAGCGACGAGGGCGATGACGGCGACAGCGGCGGCGGCGGCGGCGGCGGCGGCGGCGGCGGCGGCGACGACGACGACGACGACGACGACGACGACGACGACGACGACGACGAAGATGGCGGCGGAGACGACGACGACGACGACGACGACGACGACGACGACGACGACGACGACGACGACGACGACGGCGACGACGACGACGACGACGACGACGACGACGACGGCGGCGACGACGACGACGACGACGACGGCGGCGGCGGCGGCGGCGGCGACGACGGCGGCGGCCGCGACGTCCTGGGGACCTGCGACGGCAGCCCAAGGCGATCTTTGGATTGGACTGGACCCGTATGCGGCGCTGGCTTGTTGCTACGAGGCTACGGGGGTGGGCTCGGAGGGGGCCCTGCCTCACAGAGTCTTGAGGCTCCCGAGGTCTCGAGGCCTTCGGAGAGCCCGGCCTGCAGCTGGAGGCGGGCGTGGCCGGTGGGAGAAAGAGATGCGGGCGAAAACCGAGGCTTTCGGAGACCCCGGCCTGCAGCCGAAGGCGGGCATGGAGGCCTCCTAGATGGGGCCCGAGCAGATGGGGTCGAAGGATCGCGTCGCATCGCCGACGGCGACGTCGGCGATGCATCGAAAACGTCGGCGATGCGTCGCGACCCTCCGACCCCATCCACTCGGTGCCCATCTCGGAGGCCTAGAGGGCATGGCCGGTGGGAGAATGAGGTGAGGGGCAGAATTTGCCCGCCGTCGCTGCCGTCGATGTCCGGACACACGGCGGCAGCAGCCATCGTCCAGCACAAGGGCGCTGATTTCTATTGCCAGCCGAAGGCTTTCTTGAGGGGGGGGGCATCATTCAAGACCTTCCGCGGTTGAACACAAGCAAAGCTCGAACGTCGAGGAACACGATCCAACACAAGGGTGCCGTTTGTCGATGGCCGTCTGGAGGGCACGCGGCTGAGTCGTCTTCCCGGGTGGGCCTCGCCGACACGGCCGGACGAACGAGCGTGAGCCTGGCGCCAGACGGCGGGCGACGAGCAGGGTGAGTCGGGATAACGAATGCCGAAAGCTACAGGTCACCTGACTTCGCGCCGTGACGACAGGGCCCTCCGCAGTTCCAGGCTCGAGCAAGCTTGGCCAGCGGACTCACACCGAGGGTCCGCAAAGCCCTCGGCGAGCCTTCTTTGTTTCATCTCGCGTCACGCACTCTCCACTGGGT